TCCTTGCATCCTTGAAGTTAGGTAGATCCATGTGACTTGCTCTGGCCATTAAAATACAAGCAGAAGTGAGGTACATAACATTTACGAGGAAGCTTTAAGAGTCAGTATAAGATTTGCCATGTTCCTTTTTCCTGTATTTGGCAACTGCATAAGCGTGGAGATGAAGTCTCTCTCAGACTCTCTCAGTGAGGATGACGTGGGGCAGAGTCCCCCAGTTAACTTGTAATAAACATGTCACATGAGTAAGAAATAAACCTTGGTTGTTTTAAGACACTGAAATTTGGGGAATAGGCCATACTGGGTGATTCACAGGGATAATTTCGATTATACACCATATTTGTCCACCTCACTAACTTTATATCACAAGATGTGACTCCAGTCTATACGTAGGCTTCCTAGAAAATATTCATCTGGACACTGCAGTTTTCACTCCTCAAATTTCTCCAAAAGGAACACCGGAGACCCTTACTAAATAATAAACATTAGTTTAAATTGAGAACTGAAGGCAAGGCAGCAACCAAGAGAAATTGAAATCCACATTTATTGATGAGAGATATATACACAAAAGTTAAAACACTTAGTGAAATATTGGATTCACAGATTATTTCCAGTATATAAAGAATATCCAGTTATTTTATACATGAAATATTATGGTAATCAGTCCACATTATAAGAAAGCTTAGAAAGCTAAAGGTGAAAACAAAAGACTTCAACTACTCAAAATGTGCTTTGCCAACAAGGCATTTCCTAGTACAATACATAAGAAACAACCCAAAAAATTAGTTGAAAGATTTTTTTCATTCATTAGTCTTTAAACACTATGTGCTATAGATGCTCTATGCTACATGACTTTAGACAGATGGGGATTGTGAATGTGAAGGACATAATTATTCTTATCTTTCATTCTGGGCACACGAGAATCTTCAGAGAATCCTGCCTAAGGGCTAGCTTTCTTTCAGTAAGGTTTCTATCTTGAATTTGATAGGAGTTAAAGAATGTGGCTGTCCATCATGTATATCCTCTCACTCCAATCACTGGAGAAGCCACTGAAAATTAATGTGCTTTGTGCCTTCAGGGGATCTTTTAGGCTCTGCTCATCTTGTGAAAAGAGAACTCAGTGTTCCCAACTGCACATGGCCATTCTTCTCTGTTCTTGCAGAGAAGAAAGGGGTTACAGGAACTATAGACTCCACAGCATCCATTTAGTGATAATTAGACAGAAGGTGTGTTTTAGGAGGCAAGTGTGTAATTTGCATTAGTTAATCTCATCTTCAACCACTCAAAAGATGCACACAGAGCCTATTAGGTAGAGTTCACACTCCCTTCACATAAGTGGGATCTGTGCATTATCAGTTGCCTTTCTGAAACCCTATAGCTGTACACTGACCATTCCTGTGCTTCTAGTGCTCTATCTTTCTAAAGACAACTATGCAGTTTACTATGGAACTGTGCTTTTGTGGGGTTTGGTCTGCATGGCAGTTAGTCAGTAAATATCTTTCCTGTACTCTGACTCAAGAAAGCAAGGAAGACAAAGCTCTTCAGAGCCTTTAAGTCATGAGCATCATGATCAGTATTTGGCAATCAGAGAGGCAGACATTTACCTAAGGACATGATGCTAACATGCACAGAAGCAGACTAATCTTTTGTCTCTCTGAGCCCAATCCACCAAGTGGAGGAGGGCTATAGATAAATGTCTTCATTCTAAACCTACTTAAACCTAGACAATTAAAAGTTCCATATTTGCATTCACCATGCATTATACAGATGTCAGATGACATTTCACTAAGACTCGTGACCCACGTCTAATCTTCTCTTGCTCTGAATTGCATATTTACAAAGATGCTGGACACACCCAGACTTTCAATCATCAGTACAAAAGATTCACAGATAAGTTCTTCACTGATATACATCCCCAAATCACATTAAGAGGAGAAATTATTCACTACTAGGTATCTGAGAAGGAAAAGAAGGGTTTTCAAAAACACCAATCAACAAGTCTACTACATATAAATGAACAGCCAAAAATAACATTTAAATTAAATTACATCTATGCACCATTTCACTGAAATTACACATAGATACCTACATTATAGCTACACAAGTGCATAGGCACTGTTCTTCATGCGTGAACCAAGCGTTACTGTGTATGCACAAGAACTCCATGCTTTGACAGCTAGCTGTGCTTGAAAATCACAGGTACAATCATTGCCAGTTGAGGGAACTTCTGTTTGCTTAATGAGGAACAAGTTCGAATACAGCCCACTACACTTTCTATAGAACCAAACATGTCTTAAAACATGGCAAAAATCCTAGCCCTACAACCATATCAGAAAGTGTGTTTGGCAGAAAGAAGAACCCCCTCCTCCCATCTTTGAAGAACCTATTGATTTGCCTTTCGGGGAAATTATATAGATTGTTATTCACCTGAGGACAGAATCTACCTGGGCTGCTGCTAAACAATTTCAGTGTGACTTTAAGCCCCCACCTCCAGCCCCAGTGATTAGAGTATTGCTTCATAGCCGGTACTAATATTTTTTTTTTCTTAAAAATATGTGCTTAATTCACATAACAATGTGACATTTACTACCAATTTGCTTGGCAAGAATGAACTGCAACAAATCTGTCCTGATTTGCTTCCTAGCACCCACCCTCAATTTCTGCTATTCAAGATTTTCCTAAGCCAATTTTCACATAAATTACTAGGAAGGCATGGGAGATTCTGATATAAAAGTGATATCACTATTATCACCTTATTTTTCATCTTCTTGGAGAAAAGCAACATTAGAATGCTTAGCTGGAAAAACAAGGCCTGGCGTCAAAAATAAGAAATCAGCACCATTCCTTGAGTTAAAAAGACTAATTATTTAAATGTATATCCTAACCAGCTAAGGGATTTAAGTTATTCCTTGTTCTTTATGGTCATTTTGTTCGTTGCATCACAAAGGACTGGGTTCTTACATTTTTCAAATGTGGCTGTATGCTCAGGAAACAATTGATAGTTCTAAATTGCTGTAGAAACTTCTTGTGCTCTAATTGGTTATAATTCTACATATGTGTTATATAGAAAATGCCATAAGAAAAATATCTGTCTGCAAAATTACAGATACTAAATAGAGTACTTCAATCTACATTGAGTTCTTTATGATTTATGAAGAATAGATACAAACCTATAACATTATTAAAGGCTAAATCAATATTAAACATATAATATTCAGGACTATAAATACATTTTCTCATGCTTTTAATAAATAATAGCAAAGAAGCCCAGGGATTTGTTTAAAAAACAATGTAAGATTGGGCTGAAGAAATATGTGAGTTTGGGGTGCAATACTGATCAGAGGGCAATATATTGTCCCTGGTAACATAGATTCTTACCAGGAAGCCAAAATATATCTGCTGGCAGCAAGATCAAATTAGATTCACAGTTTGCCAGCTCTCTCCTCAAGCCATAGAAAACAAATAGAAAAACAATATACAAAAATCCTCACAAAAGTAGTTTTTTATATACAAATCTCTATAGTGACCAGATAATCTGATCTGTGTTGTGCAACATGGATACAATGCTGGGGTTTGCCGGGGAGGGAGGAAAGGAGGGAGTTAAGGTGATGTGTGGAAAGATCTGCATGCCAAAGGACGAGTTCCCAGCAAGGAGTAACTCTCCCGGAGTATTAAGCGAGAGTGCCAGCTTTCTGACAGTACACCTCGGATAATTCACTCCACGGGGTGAAACCTCAGAGACGTGCTAGACCAACTTCCTTGGCTAGTGTGTGCATTTCTCTCCCACCAAAGGCAACGGGCTGTTTCGAGGCAGGCTAAATGGTCGCCATGAGAAGAAACGGAGCCCCAGAAGCTCTGACTGTATCATCCCTGTCTCCATGGAAGATGAGGAGAGGGTAGCAGTCAGCTGCTACATTCCAACACTCATCCAGGAGTTGGGGGTGTCTCCGGAGGCCCCGGAGACTTGTTGCTGCCTATGCTCCAGGTCAAGTTCTGGCTCTGCAAAGCAGTGGGGTCTGTTTTATTCTCTGCAAAACAGTAGCAGGTTTTGTTCTCAGCACAAAAGGGCCCTATATAACAATCAGAAGGACTTCTAAAAATATCAGAATGGATACTTGGTCCGGAGGTAGGAAGGTAAAGTGAGGCTGGACATAGAAAAAAAAACTGATAAGTAATTACTCAGGATATTACTTCAAGTGAATGAAATAAGAACTTGGGAGCTTCTCTTACTTTTCTATAGGTTCATATATGGGTCAGTTAAGAAATCGTGTTTTTCTTGCAGCTCTTAAATCAGGTCTGCTACACTAAAACAAACAAACAAAACAAACAAACAAACAAAAATAACCAAATCCTTTTAGTCCTAGCTTTGCATTTTGCTCCCCCAAATCTAAAAAGCTGAAGTCTTCACTGGCAATAAAGGCGCGGACAACATAATAAATACCAAACCTATTCCACAGTCGGCTGAAGTTTGGACAAAGAGCAAGGATGCAAGCAGTGGCCCATTGCAGCAGTAGCAGGAAGTACAAGAGGATGCTCCAAGGCCATGGCTGGTGGCACGCATCTTGGAGACAGACCACGCATTCTACCTACCCTAGAAACCCCTCAGGCATGAAGATAGCCATCACAACTCCACTCTCGTCAGATAGAGCTTCTCTATCTGTGATGTGATGTCCACGAAGGAAGCAAACCAAGAGGAAAATTGGAAAATGAATTCCATCAAATATCCTCGTACATCTCTCCAGAGAAAGGAGTTGGCCCGGGCTCACCCTGTGTACAGAGGTGCATGTCTGCATACAGGTGGAAAGGGGAGGTATTTACAGACAGTTGTTGGTATTGTGTAAGTCTTGCACCAAATTTCATAAGAGTGTTCAGGTTTATTTGCCAAAGGCTCCCAAATTCCCACCCTGCGTTGGCAATTAGGACTGTTTGGAGAAAACTGTGTGTGTGATGGGTATTCGGAGTGGGCTCCA